CGGTGATTGACATGACAAGTGTGTGCGCGCGCGTGTGTGTGCGTGTGTCACACTCTGTTGCTAAGAGACCTAGGAGATAGAAGCAGGCTTTCAGTATTTTTGATGCAGGGGGTGGCAGCAGGGACCAGAACCAACGAAGACACCCTGAAATCCCTGGTGAAGCATGGTCTGATCAACCATGTGCACCTGCCCAGTGATAATGTTCTCATCTCTTGCAACGCTGTGTTTTTCAAGTGTTGCTGGACAAGTGCTTTGTAATTACTTCTAAAATATATGGTCGGTGCGCAGTGTGCGCAAGTGGAGTGGATGAGACAGACATGTACAGTTTCTGTTGACTCATGACTGCACATGAGTCATCATGAGTCAGTAGCATGGTCATGTGAGTAAACCTCAGAGTAAAGATTTCAAAGCGCTCCAATTGGAGCCAGCAACAAGAACACACAGGTCCGGCTAGTGTGTAATCAGTGTAATCTGATTGACAATCAGGCAACAAGGCTTAACACGCCTGACTTGGAGACCTGCACAAGTGAATGTGGGTGTATGTTACAACTTACATATGGTGGCGTGATACGTAAGACGGGTTTGCAGTGCCCCGCAATAGGAAAATGTATGAAGGTCTGGAACAGTAGTTCCCGACAGCACGTTGCCACCAGAAGCATGCTACCTGAGTCGCTGCCAATCCGATGATGACGAGCTTGCAGCTATTTTTGTTGGATCCTGAAACTGCAACAGCACCCAGTGGCAACGGGTGCCTTCTGGCCGGCTAGCCTTGTGGGGCGTGGACTTAGGGTAGATGCTCAGCTGACGCTCATCAAGATTCCAAACTTTGGCCCAGCTAATTCTCAGGCTGAGCGAGGAAGGCTCACAGTCTTAGCACCTTCATCTGCTCAACTCATTCGGGGAGTTCGCTTCAGACTTCCTACTGGCCGGGCCTGGGCCTGACACATCGGGTTCCGGCGTGGGCGTTGCGTCAGCAGAAGGCAAGGAGTCAGCTTAAAGATCGGAACGTGCCGCAGGTTGTTGTTGAGATTGCAGCCTACACTTATCACATGATCCGGGCTGGATCTGGCACCGGGGCGGGCACTGGTGACGTCACCCAGGCGCTGGGGACGGGTCGAATTCCGCCCTTAGAGGCATTTCTCAGCAGGCAGTGAGTGCATCGTAAGACTACAGCAGACTTCCGCACGGAGATGCTGACTTCTGGCAACCTGCAAGCAGGTTCCTCGCACCTGGCAAAAATTCACAGCGCACAGCCATCAAAAAAAGCTTCCCGTAGAAGGATAGGTGTCGAGCTTCACGGTGCAGGTCTTGCCCACTTCGAGGTAGCCCCGGCTGTCCTTCAGGAACGCACAGACAGCGAGATTCTCTCAAGCTTGGACAAACTGACGCGACGGTCCAGGCACGCACAGCCAGTCCAGCCTGGCGCTGCTGTTTTGACCTGCGAGCCAACTTGACATCCGCAGCTCACGGAGAGATGGCAGCAGTGCAGCTCGTGCACCATGCACTCGGTCGGTGAGAAGCTTTCGCCGCTGCTGTTGGTATCGTTGGCAGCCATCGTCTGCGCCTGGCATTAATGAAACCTGCATATGCCCTATGTTTTACCGCAAGACAATTTGATAGGATGGCAGCCAGGTCATGGAAAATTCATGGAATGTACACCCCGCTGCTCGACATACGATGGGTTGCACTGCCATGTCTTCTAGGTGGCACCTGAAGTCTGAAAGCTATGGAAGGCCGGAAGGCCCACAGGTTTTAAAGCTTGGACTGCCTCACTGGCAACACATGGCAACACCATCAGCGCATGAGTGCTTGGCCTGCCAGACCATGTGACAGAATCCAGGAGCTGCTTCCCCTGTGTCCTGCTTGCTGATCTTGCTGTTAGGATGAAGTTTGCAAGCATTCGCAAGCATGCAAAGCATCCTGGCCAGCATCATCAACCTTGAGAGACCTTCAAAGCTGTGCAGAAAGGCACCAAAGAGCTTGCACAAGTTGCAGGATGCTGGCCATAAGGTGCCAAAGCAACAGGACTGCGCCAGCCTCCAAGCAGCTTGGCATGCGCACCGTGGGACATCACTTGCAGCTCGTACAGGGCAGGTCAGAGCAGAGCATGACCCACAGAAATTCCCCGAAAGTGCAGCCGCCTGGTTCTATCCAGCACGCTGGCTGGACAGCTGGGACCCAACTCGCAGTCCACAGGCGTGTCACCTGTGACTCTCACGCCTCTCCACTGACATACTGTGAAACATTCCTGCCTAGGGCATCGAAGACAGTGCTTGTCGCAGTAAAGCCCGCATGGCCACACAAGGATGAAGGCGAAAGTTTATCTGGCACCGTGCAAGGGCTTCCAAGCGACATGGCGATTACACTCTCGGCCATTGCAATTTGGACAGGCCGACTGGTGACGTCGTGGCAGTTGTCCAGAAGCTGAATAGAGTCTTCCCCTATGGGCTCTGAAAACGGCCCCAGTATTAACATCAAATTTGGAGGCTGTGCGCATGCTATCTTTTGCTGCAAGCATAGGTGCCTGTCGTTTGACACGGAAAGCTAGCGTTCTGCACGGTCTGCGTGAGCACCTTGAACTAAGAACGAAGGATGCTAGGGTGGCACTCAAATGCTTTAAGCTGCCAGCTGGAGACCACACGGCCAATGGAGTGCAGGTTCCCTTGAAGTCAAACTGTCACGTGTTGTCACTGCTGAATCTGAAGACTAACTAATTGGAAACTTCCCTTCGCAGCGCTCTGGGATGCTGGCGGCTGCACAGGTGCGAGAAGTGCATTGCTGAACCTGCAGAAAGAGGCCGGCATGTGTTGGGAGTGGAGTCTCCCCTGCATCCGTACGAAGTCAACGATCATTTCAAGTGGATGAACAACCGTTGGCATGAGGCTATGATGGACACGACACCACACGACATAACAGGCATTTGGAGTAAAGTGGTTTCCGCTGTTTTGTGAGCCTGAGGGTTGGCCTCCATGAATGCTATTGAACGCTTGCGTGGGACTTGCAGGGGTTTGGGCGGGATGAAAACTCGCCTCTTCATCCCCCCAACTCCCCAAAGGCCCCTCGCAGGGCAATTCGACGTTCGGGACTGCGGTGCGTGGATGAGCGCGCAGCCCATACATACTCAGTGACATACTCACACAATCCAGGGGTCCAACCCTTGCAACGTTCGCATGTGAGGTTTTTGAAGCCCTGATAGGAAGTCCTTGTACCTTCAGCGTATCACCCCACACTGAGAAAATTAACCTCCATTACGATCGGGGACCCGCGCAATCAGTTCGACTTGAATTACGTTGAACCACGTTGACACACCCCCAAGAAGTCACAATGACCCAGCTTCAGTCGCGTGAGCATGTGCTGGGCAGCGGAGTGTGCAAGGATCAGGAAGTCCTGTCAATACAGGCCTCACAGGCTGCACTGTTTGCGAGTCCTGTGACGTTTGAGCCACTTCCGTTCTAGGGGCGAGGTGTCCAGTGCAGGCGCTTGGGGAAGTCACCCTTTGCAAAAGAAAAAGTTGGAACCCCCACGCGGAGGGATCGCCAAGTCCACTAAGTCGAGCGCTAAGAAGCAAATCACCATCATCAAGATTATATAATGCGTGGGTATGGGTGTTGGAGATGACCAAAAATTCCGGTGTCACTCGGCAGATCAGGGTCGCCAAAACGGTCCGTTCTTTATAGAAGAGTGTCTGTAACTGCTGGCCTTCAAAACAACAGCCCACCACTGGCCCACCTGAGATCGGTAGTGCCCAATCCCCCCCCCCGCTCCTGAGTGCTTTTTCAGGATGGCTATGCGGTAATAGTTACAAAACCATGTCATAAAGACCTTGCTCACCATTTCATTGAGAAATGTCTTAAAGGCTCTGATGATTAGAAATTTGGTTTGCGGCTTCAGTCTACAGCGGCTAAGGTTGAGGTTTCAGGGTGCAGCGTTCAGGGGTTCCTGATTCGGCGATGTGTCATAGCCTTTAGGTGTTGGAGCTGAGGATTACATTGCTGGTTCTGGGTTTGCAGGTTCCATGTGAGCCGTCAAAAAATAGGTATATAAATTTGATTGAAAGAAGGAAGCTTCCACCCGCGAGCTTCCGCGGACCTTCCGCGAAGACTACTGG